GCTATCTGATCATTTATAAGACAACTACAGTAATTATCTCTTAAAAGTTAATTTGGTAATCAAAAATTTAAATAAACCAAGATTATCTGGTACAGAATAAAAAAAATGCAAAGCCTGTAAAACATTTTAAACTGTCAAACTTTGGCACAAAGTCGGATCCAGGATTTAAATACAGTGCCGTATTTTTATTAAAGAGTCAAAATATAAAAAAATAAATTCATAATTAAGTTAAAGATTGTCAATAATACATGGTATATAAATATATATATTTAAAATTAGCTAGCTATACAGTTTAAACCGACTGACAAAGTAGTGTCGGTTGACAACTCTCGGTGCATGTGACTAGTCCTATTAAACTTTTGATCTTAACNATATATATATATATATTGAATTTTTGAGGAAGTTAACTATTTCATCTTCTCCGTACATAGGTCCACCTCTGGTGGCACATACTAACCTCTAAACTGCGAGTTCAGTTACATCAATTATTTTCGGTACATAGTTTTTATATATATATATTAACTACAATGGGTTTAGCGGTAAAGACATAGAAGACCTAAACTTATCAAATTTAAATTATAAATCTGCCAGACTTTTATTTATAAATTAAAATTTTAACTTTAATATTATTTGCAGATCGGAACTTGGAGACATGCAGAACTTTTTTGAAGGGAATAGACGTGAACAGGATACCAACAATTACAGATGCAGAAGAAGAAGAAGAAGAAGCTGGAGTTTCTTCTCCAAATAGTACTATTTCAAGTTTGAGTGGAAATAAGAGAAGTGAAAGAGAAATAAACTGTGAGGAGGAATTGGATTGTTGTAGAGGTATTAGTGATGAAGAAGATGGAGAAACTTGTAGAAAAAAACTAAGGCTTACTAAAGATCAGTCTGCTGTTCTTGAGGAGAGTTTTAAAGAACACAACACTCTCAACCCTGTAAGTTTTCTTCTACCAATCCTGTAGGATTTACGATGTGTTTGGTATGACGAAAGTCATTTTTTTCGAAAATGTTTTTCGGCGCCCTCTCTGGTTAGAGAGTGGAAAAGTTTTTCAGAAAAAGTATTTACTAAAAAATAATAATAATATTAGCAAATAGAATAGAGGTTTGATAAAATTTTTTGAGTATTAAAGATCGATAATAATATAAAAATTGACCCTATTATATTGCTGTTGCTATTGCTTGTTGCTTTAATTTATTGTTTCTTGAGCCGATATGACTAAAGTCTGTGTGGTTGTTGTTATTGTAATAATATCGAAAATTGGTTAAAACAGTAATACTCCCTCCCGTTTCAATGTATGTGAATCCATTTGACTGAGCACAAAGTTTAAGAAAAAAGAGAAGACTTTTGAACTTGTGGTGTAAAATGAGGCACATATATTTTGTGTGGCTATAAATCATTGAATAAAGTTAAATTGTTTCCAAATAAGGAAAGAGGTCATTCTTTTTGGCACACACTAAAAAGGAAATAAGTTCACGGTAAATTGAAACGGAGGGATTATGAACTTAATAGTAAGTGATTATAGTGAGTAAAATAATTTTCAACCAAGAGTGAAGAAAAATAACTTTTTCGGGAAAATATTTTTCGAAAGGTATTTTGCATCATATCAAACATACCTTTAGAGTTAATTGGTTCAGATTATAGGTATACATTTAAAATAATTTAGACAATAAATTCAGTTGAACGCACAAAATTCACTTTTGTCCCATTATTACATTAGGTGTTAGTGTGTGTTTTAGTCTATTAGGAGATTTTTGCTTAAACAAATTAGCTTATTATTTTTGTGATATGTTTTTACAGAAGCAAAAGCAGGCTTTAGCAAAGAGACTAGGATTGAGGCCTAGGCAAGTGGAGGTTTGGTTTCAGAACAGAAGGGCAAGGTGAGATTTTTGTTTCCTTTCAGGGTCTTTCTGGGATTTTACTGCACGTCTTTAAGAATAGTGAATATAATGATGTTGAAAATGATATGTAATAATAATTGCCAAAAGATTGAACAGTATATCATATGTCAAAACCTAATCATGCCAATAAGTTATATTCACATTTTGGGATATACTGCATTTCTTTCTCTAGAATAATGATTGATGATATTGACAATGATATATCAATAATAAGACCAAAAGATTCAGCAACATATTATACAACACCAACAACAAATCGTCCGAGGAGTTCCATAAGTGGGGTCTGGGGGTCTGCAGAGGATAGTATGTACGGAGGTTTTACCTAATCTGATAGTGTGAAGATTATTTATTGAAGGAATATTTTGGGATGTTTGACTAATGGGTCAAGTATTTTTTTTTTAACAGGACAAAATTAAAGCAAACTGAAGTAGACTGTGAGTTCTTGAAGAGATGTTGTGAGAATCTAACTGAAGAAAACAGGAGATTACAAAAGGAAGTTCAAGAGTTAAGGGCACTAAAGCTATCACCTCAATTCTACATGCAAATGACCCCTCCAACCACCCTTACAATGTGCCCGTCATGTGAGCGTGTTGCGGGCCCACCAACTCCGTCCCCGTCGGGTCCCACGAATGTCGACCCTCGAGTCCACCAAATGGGCTTGGCCCAACAACAACGGTCTATGCCGTTTAATCTTTGGGCCACCTCTCCCGTCCCGCACAGGCCCATCAATGCCCTAAACCCTAGATCGTGATTTTGCCACCGACGGAAGGGTAATTTGGTCAATTGGGTTCGTATACTAATCTGGGAAATTCAACAACATGATGTGTATGTATGAAAATAGGTCTAAGATATGGTTGTTTAGATATGAAGGGTTTGGTGGGTTTCAACATTTCTTGGTTTTATTATAGACCCCATCTTTTTTCTTGTATTGACCGGCTAGTGTAGTCATTTTACTCTTTTAGTAATAGTAGTTTCATATTCCCCATTATAAGTTTCAAATGGTGGGGACTAAAGATTAGAGAAGAGGACTTTAGATGTAAAGCAATCAAGTGACACCCAATCTATTAGTCCTAAATTAACCAAGTTCAATGTATGTCTTACCATCAAAATTTTGAAAGTGTGTGTTCATACATATTCTTTGAAATGATTTTCATAGAAGTCTAGGTTGAAAAGCTATGAAACCTCCCTCTTGCGATTAGAGGCGGACCTATGTGTAATATTGAGGGGTCATTGGATCCCGTAAATTTTGGTAGGAATCTTGTATATGTATGTGTTTACTTTGAAAATAATTGTATAAATAACTTGGCACGTTTAATACTAAAAATATTTAGGGTGCATCAGTTGAGCAGAACAGTGGTGCCTCTGTCGCGTTTAAATCCTCGATCTTTCTTTGCCTGAAATGCAATCATGTTTACAACATTTTGTTTGGTAAATACTTATGTGCACTAGTTACCAAATCAGACAATTTAACCTTAGCAGATAAAATTGCATGTATGAAATATACTTATTTTTCATTCATTGGTTTTTCATGTTCCTTGACATAATACGTAACGTGCTATCTGATTCTTGCATATATCATTGCAAGAGTTATTGACATTCACAGTCTTAGAGCAACATTCACTGTTAACAAAACATATAGCTTATAATAAAGCCATTTCCTACACTAAGGAACGTGTATATTAAGGAATCATCACACTGTTCACCAAACAACTCAAGGGTTTCCCTAGTAGCAGGCAAAGGATGTGACAACCGAGGGCGTAGGCATGATATTTGGTAAGCGATATCATTTAAAAAATAAATAAATGAATAAATCATATAAGAAAAATGTTGTTATTTTTTATATTTATACCCAATATTTTCATTTTGTATACTATCTATATATAAATATTTAATAAAAATTTCGACAAAGCGTATCATGTTTGCCGCAAGGTGTATCCGTCCTTGGTTACAACATAAGCTTCGGTCCCAAAGAAGTTTAGAACGGCTATATAAATCCTCATCAGCCATGTTTCTCCCTCACGAAAAGGATGTTAAGAAAAAGGACCTACTGAATATGAGGTAGTTTGGAAGTTTACCAATCATATATAGGTACTTAATCTATTAAAGTAATTGAAACAATCAGGATAACAAAATTTTCAGAAACATTCCTTGGCACTTGACCAATATATACAGTTAGGCATGCTAATGGAGTAGAATTTCAATGACTAGTTTGACCTAAAATTTGATTATGTCTGACTGTAGTTTCAATATATTGATCATAGGTGGAGAACCAGAACAACTTTATAAACCCCTTTAAAAGAAAAAGGGCAGCCCGGTGCACAAGGCATCCGGCGTTCGCACAGGGTTCGGGGAAGGATCGTATTACCAAGGGGTGTGATGTAGACAACCTAACCTAATGCAAGTATTAGTGGATGCTTCCACCGCTCAAACCCTTGACATATAAGTCACACAGAAATAACTTTACCGTTGCTTCTAAGGCTCCTCTTCACGGAATCCATGTAGAACAAACATAATATGCTTCTTTGTAGGTTTAGTTTTTTCTCATAGACATCAAAATAACAAGAATCACAGTAAAAAAGCCAAAGGACGGACAAGGAAAAGACTATTTGTAGACAGCCTAACTTAATACAATCATTAGTGGATGCTTCCACCGCTCAAACTCTTGACCTATAAGTCACACAGAAATAACTTTACCGTTGCTTCTAAGGCTCCTCTTCACGGAATCCATGTAGAACAAACATAATATGCTTCTTTGTAGGTTTAGTTTTTTCTCATAGACATCAAAATAACAAGAATCACAGTAAAAAAACCAAAGGACGGACAAGGAAAAGACTATTTGTAGACAGCCTAACCTAATGCAATCATTAGTGGATGCTTCCACCGCTCAAACCCTTGACCTATAAGTCACACAGAAATAACTTTACCGTTGCTTCTAAGACTCCTCTTCACGGAATCCATGTAGAACAAACATAATATGCTTCTTTGTAGGTTTAGTTTTTTCTCATAGACATCAAAATAACAAGAATTACAGTAAAAAAACCAAAGGACGGACAAGGAAAAGACTATTTGCTCTATTCAGAAACCACAAGTAGTCCGCATCAAATTGAACTTTAGAGCAGCACAACATTTTCCACAGAAGCAATATCAGTTCTGTTATAGCAAAAATTAACAAGGTGATCACACAACACAACTGAGACAGGAAATTGCTCAGTATACAGAAGGAAATCAAAATATCAGAACCAGAAGATAACAAATAGTAGAAACAAGAACAGTTAAAGGCAGAAAAATCCTAAGACATCGGCTGACAGGAAATACATCACAGACAATTGCGGACCTATGTGTAATCTTTAGGGGTCACTAGACCCCATAAATTTTGCCAGAAATTTTGTACATGTATATGTGTATACCTTGATAATGGTGCCTTTAGGGGGCACTGGTTGAGCAGAATATTGGTGCCCTTGTGGCGTTAAAATCCTGGGCCCGCCTCTGATTATTTCACAACAAACTCTACCAATTAACTTAAGCTCCAAACTCTGTGTCTCGGGTGCATGAAGTTCCTTATTCTGCTTTTCTAGTCCACTCCTGAATGAGGCAAAAACGAGTCCGTTAAGCTCAACACATTTGAATGATAAAAAACTACTACACCGGACTGCTAATTTGGTTCGAGATGCTTATTCTCAAATCTTTTTTTGTAAAGCACAAGTTTTTCAAGGTGGATCTAAAACCATCTAACTCAAAACCTTAAGGCAAAAGGTGAAAGTAGTCCAGGACCTTTATAAAGCACTAGGAACAAAAAGGAAAAGGAACAAGATATCAAGGGCCAAATTAGCTCTATCAAAAAGAACACTAGAAGGCAAATAATCAAGTATAGTTCTACTGGCATTTTCATAATTGAGAAATCTAAATGTTAATTTGCACATCTCACCTGAAATGCAGTGGAAGCAACTTCAAATTTGATCTTGCTGTCAGTCAAGATTTGGTAGGAAACAATGCTCCAATTTTGACTTGAAGTTGTCGTCATCCCACTTCAATTGACTCCACCATTCTGATGCTCCTCTTATTACTTTGATATTCTTGGAGGTTTGAATAGACAGAGGCAATTTCTTTATTTGATTGCATTTTATCAAACTAAGTTCCTCCAGGTGTTCCCACGTATTCGGTGGCTCGCCTAGAGTTCCTAATTTTGGACAGTCTTCCAACAGTAACTTCCGAACTCTTGGAATTTCTGAGTTGACAAGAGTTGGCTGACTTGAGCCGCATTGTACAAACAACTCTACCAGCTGCTCACAAAAGGAAATCATGACCTCTTCCAGGCGCTTCGGTGCAGAAGAAGCTCCACCAACATTAAAAAGACAAATTAACCTTTGACAATCGTACACATCTAGTTGGCGCAGTTCAGAAAAGCTTAGACTCAGACAATGACTGAAATCAGAAACACTCTTTAAATTATGTATGGAGTGGAGGCGAAGACATTCCAGATTCGGCAGAGGGTCTAACTGTCCACTTCCTTCTTCCACTGGTCTGAAATCACAAGAACAGTCTTTAATGTCTAGTGATTTTAATCTATTAAAATTGTTGTAGACAATCAACTTCTTGAGACCCATGCAATCTACCAAGTACAGTTCTGAAGCAAACTGCAACATGCCTAAGAGCTCTCCTTTACTGAAATTTTCACACTTGGAGACGCCTATCATCCTCGTTGACATGTTGTATTTTAGTGCAAATTGACCTTCCCCAACTTCAATGCAAAACTTTTTCAATCTAGACATCCAGGTATGGTCCTTATTCAAAATTGATGAGCTATCCACTCTAATACAAAGAGAAGTCAGCTTGTGTAGAGATGATAGCTCATCAAAAGAGGTTGATCCAAGAAGAGTCATCTCATTCTTTCTGCCCCTATGGGATATGGTATCCAACATATTTATCATTTCAATTCTAGACATTTTGACAAAAATACCTTTGTCGATACTCTCCAAATCAGCTGCAGGCAGATTTAATAGCCTCAGGTCTGTCAACTTGTCCATACCTTGCGGCAGACAATGTAACCTTGTATTATCACAATCGAGCAATTGCAAATTGTGAAGATTACCAATAGGTGGTAAGTCTTTCAACCCAATGCAATTTTGTAGTATTAGAGCATGTAGTTGATATAAACTATTTATGGAAGAAGGCAGTGCAGTAATACCAGTTTGACTCAGATTCAGAACTCTCAGGGCTGGAAATGCCAAAAAAAATGTATTGGGAATTTTCACAAGGGGACCATTGTCTTGCAAAAGTAAAGTTGTTGTCTCTGGGCATTCCATGAAGGAATCAGGTAGGCGTTTGATTTTGTTGCTTATGAAAGATATTCTCTTGACAGAAGTTGACATATTCATGTGTGATATATCAGCCAACCCAACTCCAGCTTGAATAACAGAGTTGTGTTCATTCCCAAAGGAATTAGCTATCCATATAGCAACATCGCGAACCACGTCATGCATCTTCACGGAATCCATCTTATAGGTTTCTAGCAAGCAGGCATCCTTTAAACTCTCAACCATTGTGATTCCCCTATTGTAGGCTTCTTCATATGTGTTACGTTCTCCAAGGAACCCCTCCGCCCACCAACAATGTATGAGATCATCTGTCGAAATAGCCACTGGATATAAAGAGCAATACAAGAAACAACTTTGAATGTCACCTCCCCTTTTGTTCACATGTTTGCTTCTTTGCTCTGAAGATAATTCAATATCCTGAGATTCTAAAGAATCAAAACTCCACTTGATGACCTTGTAAACCTTATCTTTTATATCTTTGTTATGAGGTTCGGACCTTCTAAGTGATTCCAAAGCATCTTTCCATAGCTCGACCCTCTTCTTCCCTCTCATAGATGCTCCAATGACAGTGATTGCTAAAGGTAATCCATCGCACTCCATTGCAATTTCTTTTGCGAATGGTTGAATATGCTCCAGATTCGTAATATCTCCTGCATTTTTGACAAACATGTGCCAAGATTCATCCTCATCCAATGTGTACACCTTTATTTCCTTGTCTGTTCTCATTTGCCTACAAACATCCAAAAACCGAGAAGTTATAATTACCTTGCTTCTTGGGGAATCTTCAGGCTGGGGCACACCTACATGATCCAAGTTTATCGGTTCCCAAACATCATCCAGCATAAGAAGGAAACTCCTTTCTTCATTGAGCCTTTGATGAATTTTGCTGGCAATGCTTTCTATGCTTTCCTCGCTATTTACCTGTAGTTTTAATCTCTTGCCAATTTGTGCTTGGATCTTTCTTATATCTGTTGGTTTGGGCACTGTAGCCCATACAACAACACCAAAAGACTGTTTGGAGCTGAATATATCAGTCTCTAGGAGCTCATTGTTCAGATTCTTTACCAAAGTTGTTTTACCAACTCCTCCCATACCCCATACACCAATGAGGTATACCTGAAAGGATTCAAAAAATGCATAAACAATTTATCCGCAAGTGAAAGATGCAAACATGCTATATAGAAGAAATTTAGCAAATTATAGAAAGAAGTAGGCAGGAGGCTTTGATCATTCACACATAATCTCTTGATCTCAACTTTCTTAACTTAGAGAGGGTGTTTAGGTAAGCTTATAAGCTGATTAAAGTAAGAAAAAAAAAGGCAGCCCGGTGTACTAAGCTCCCGCTATGCGCGAGGTCGGGGAAGGGCCGGGACCACAAGGGTCCATTGTACGCAGCCTTACTCTACATTCGGGCTAGAGGCTGTTTCTACATTCGGGCTAGAGGCTGTTTCTACGGCTCGAACCTGTGACCTCCTTGTCACATGACAACAACTTTACCGGTTACACTAAGACTCCCCTTCTATAAGCATATTAAAGTAGCTTATAAGAACTTATTACCTTTTAGACGCATTTGGTAAACACCATAAGTGCTTATAAGCCAAAATCAGCCAAAAGTCTTTAGCTAGTCACTCCCAAATAGACCATTTACTTATTATCAGTTTCAATACGTCTACCCAAATATATAGCTCAGTCAGTTTGAGTATTTAATGCTTATCAAGTACTTTCAAGCTATCCCCAAATGGGCTCTTAACCTCCTTATGAAAAGGGGTACTAGCACTCATCATATTGTTAATATACAAAATCAACTATGACTAAGCACCATGCATTTTGAGTACAAAATCTAACTAGACATGAATTAAAGGAATTAGCAACTACCAAATTGTTTAGGATTACTAATCTTGGTTTAATTTCAATTACAATACCTTATCATCTTTTAACTGTTGTAGGATCTCGTTGAGATTTTTTCTTGCAGTTCGCTGGCCTTCTATTGATGGTCCTGGGATGAACTCAATTTTTTTCACATAATCTTCTACCACCAAATTGGATCCAAAATTTTCTCGGATTGCTATAAGCTTGCAAACTTGATCTATCAAGTTACGTGCTCGAGTAGAGAGTTCCGAGCAAAGATTGCAATTTATGCAACATTTGAATGCAACCATCTTCATCATTAAAATGCCATCTTGGATAGAGTCCCATTCACTCTCTAGCTTGTCAACCTCTGTAAGCCACTTAAGAACATCTGGTTTTGGTTTATAGCCTTCTCTCAAAGCTCTTTCCATCTTCTCTTTGATATCATTTTTAAACTCTCTTAGCTTTAGTATTTCCTTTCTTGCATTTTCTGTATTTGATGAGAAATGGATGGTATTCTCAATCTGAGGATAGATGCATTTACACACAAACTTTCCCACCTCAACAATAAAGCTAGATACTACAGAAAAAATTATGTCCATTGAACAATTCTTGAGGTAAAGAAAAAAATATTTTCTGATCAGAATGCTAATGATGCTCTCAAAAATGATCAAGTAAAGCTAAACTGATTGTTTCTTCTTTATTTAAGACAGAATTCCAGGAAAATCTTTAATCAATTTTAAATAGTTGTTGTGGAGCCTGTTCAGTATTGTGCATATGAGAGAAGAATGATTCCTTTTATATTTAGTAGTAAGTACTTTGGACAACCATTTTTTTTTCTTTCTACTATTTTATTAACAAAGCAAACATACAGATAAAGGAAAAGAAGAAAAAGCAATGTCACCAGCAAGAGAATTTTAGATTATATAAATGATATAAGAAGCTTTACTTTTGCAATTCCTTCATTCTTGAGACATGAGTCAAGCAAGGGCTTTTCCCATTTTGTAATATGTCTTCTGTCGTGAAAATGCTTGTATTTTTTCTTTTAATCTTCCGTTTTGATTATTTCAAATATTGTTCTAACTTTTTTTTGAATATAACTATGTCTTTATCCTTTTCTTCCACACAACAAAAATTGTAATATCCAATATATTGTTAGGAACGAAATAATCAGGTATGATGCGGAAGCTAGTAAAATAAATCAACGACGATAAATCAGACAACAAAAGAGAAATATACCAAAAGTGACACAAATATTTAAAGTGATTCGGTCAATTGACCTACATGGACAAGCATAAATGAGCACTCTACTACATAAAAGAGAATACAAAATATCGAAAGAACAACCTCACAAAGAGACTCACACAAGTGGCAGGTTAATATTGTCCCAAAGATTCTCCCTCTCTCAAATCCCTTATGGCCAGTGGCGAAACTAGAAATTTTTCCAAGGGTATTCAAATTTGAAAGAAGTGAAAAAAAATTCCTGACAAAGGGTGTTCAATATGTGTTATATACCTCTAAAACGTAATATTTTACCTATATGCACAGTGTAATTTTTCGACGAATGACTATGTGGCTTCGCCACTGTTTATGACTACATTGTGGATGCTACTAAATGAGAAGGAATGATCCTCAATTTTGTAGAAATCCAAAACCCTTTTCCTCCAAAACAAATGACTAGCCAAATATAGAAGACTTATATTTTCCTTTTCGTAAAAGGTAAATCAATTATGACAAATATGTTATCTTTCCTTCGAGAGATAGAAAAATCAAATATAAATAAGATTAGTCTTAGCTTCTTAATGTTCTTGAGGTTAATCAATTTTCCTTCACTGTGATGGGAAAAATTGAACTGAAAATAGCACTTGGTGATGGAAATACATATGTCAAATTTATTTGTACTGACTAGTATTAATTTATACATTTATGCTTACCTGGGCAGCCTCAATATCTAGATAATTAAACCTGTTCTGTTTCATTAGAGGTCTTAATAGGCAGACTAACAACAAAATCCGACTTTTAAAAGGCCTTGTTACAGCATCACCAATTCATGTGTTTGTAAAATAGCTAATTTTGCTCTTCGTATTAATATGAAGGAATAAAATAATCATTGTAAATCATGATAAAACTGATGGTCTTTTGAAGAATAAATTCGTGGACTATAAAATGGAAGATAGCAGTCCTTGCAAGGGATTATTCATGATCTCATTGCTGAAGGTATAATTCGAATTAATACTTTTGTTGAAAGTATTAATTATATTATTACTAATATATTCTTTATTGAAGGGTTGGTCATCAATAAAGTATTTCAAGTTGCAATATTGATTGAGAAGTTGCTTCATTTATGGAAGGACTTCAAAAATTATTTTGGAACATAAATGCAAGGAGATGTCGCTCGAAGATCTCATTGTTCGGTTGAGAATCGAAGAGGATAACAAAGCTATTTAAAAGAAGGTTCATGGAAATTCAAGAATAAAAGAAGCAAACATTGTTGAGGATTCTCCACAAAATAATAAAAGGAGGAAAAAGCCTTCTGGACCAAAGAGCATCCGGGCAAGAAAAGTTTCAAAGTAAATTACTACTACTGCGGCAAAGCTAGACACAAGTCTGCAGATCGTCGTGCTCTATAGAAGGACAAGAAAAACGGTCAAGCAAACGTGGTTGAAAAGAACAGAGATATTGATGATTTGCGTGCTATGCTTTCCGAATTCAACTTGGTATGAAATCCCAAGGAACAGTGGATTGATTTTGGAGTCACTTGCCATGTTTGTGTTGTAAGAGAAGTGTTTGCTACATATGCTCCTGTTGGACCCGAAGAGACGTTCTTTATGAGAAATTCTGCAACGGTCAAAATTGAAGGATGTAGAAAGATATTTCTGAAAACTACTTCTGGCAAGGTGGTGACTCTCAATGTTCTTCAAGTTCCTGAAATAAGGAAGAATTTGGTTTTTATTGCTCTTCTCGTTAAGAATAAATTTAAGTGCGTTTTTGTATCTGACAAAGCCATTTTAAGTAAAAATGAGATGTTTGTAGAAAAATGTTACAAGAAAGTGCATTAAAATCATCGATCTATCTCTGCCTGCAAGGCAACAATGTTTACAACATTTGGTTTGGTAACTGCTTATCTGCACTAGTTACCAAATCAAAAAATTTAACCTTGGTAGATAAAAATATAAGTACGAAAGATACCTATTTTATTGGTGTAATTATTGGGTGCAAATAATTAGTTTTTACCCGTTTGGTTCTTCATATTCCTTGACATAAGTAACAAGGGCAGTTTTACCGGAAATGCTATCTGATTCTTGCATATATCATTGCAAAAGTTATTGACATTTACAGTCTTAGAGCAACATTCACTGTTAACAAAACATATAGCTTATAATAAAGCCATTTCCTACACTAAGGAACGTGTATATTGAGGAATCATCACATTGTTCACCAAACAACTCAAGGGTATCCCTAGTAGCAGGCAAAGGATGTCATAACATAAGCTTCAGTACCAAAGAAGTTCAGATCGGCCATATAAATTCTCATCGGCCATGTTTCTCCCTTAGGCAAAGGATGTTAGGAAAAAGAACCTACCGAATACGAGGTAATTTGGAAGTTTACCAATCAGAGATACTTATTTTATTAAAATAATAGAAACAATCAGGATAATAATTTTTCAGAATGCAAATTCTACAGAACATTACCTGTCGCTTGACCAATATTTACTGTTAGGCATGCTAATGGAGTCGAATTTCAATGACTAGTTTGACCTCAAAACAAAGGACGTACAAGGATTAGACTATTGCTCTATTCAGAAACCACAAATAATCCGCATCTAAATTTAGAGCAGGAGGACATTTTCCACACAACCAGTACCAATTTTATTATAGCACAAATTAATAATATGATCACACAACACAACTGAGGCAGGAAATTGCTCAGTATACAATATTAAGAAAATCAAAATATCAGATTCAGAAGGAAAAAAATTGTGTAACGACTTGACCGGTCGTTTCGGGAGTTATAGCCCCGTTTCTCCCATTTCTGTTTCCTTTATGCTCTTAAGCTATATTATGATATACCAGGTTAGTTGGTTCGGGCCCGGAGTTGTTTCGGAGTGGAATGAGACACTTAGTATCTTATTTAGAACCTTAAGTTGGAAAAGTCAATCGGATGTTGACTTATGTGTAAACGATCTCGGATTTGAATTCTGATGGTTCCGTTGGCTCCTTTAGGTGATTTTGGACTTGGGAGTGCATCCGAAATGTGATTTGGAGGTCCGTGGTAGAATTAGGCTTGAATTGGCAAAATTTGGAAATTTGGCGATTTCGGCCGGCAGTGGAAATTTGATATCGGGGTCGGAATGGAATTCCGGAAGTTGGAGTAGGTTCGTAGTTTCATTTGTGATGTGTGTGCAAAATTTGAGGTCATTCGGACGTGGTTTGGTTGGTTTCGGCATCGGTTGCCGTATTTGGGAATTTAGAAGTTCTTAGGCTTGAATCCGAGGGTAATTTGATGATTTGATATTGTTTTGAGTGATTCGAAGGTTCGACTAAGTTTGTATGTTGATATATGACTTGTTGGTATTTTTGGTTGAGGTCCCGAGGGCCTCGGGGTGATTCCGGGTGGTTAACGGATATGTCGAAGTTGGAAAATGCAACTGAAGTTGCTGCTACTACTATTTTCGTACCTGCGGAAGAAAGAGTCACAGGCGCGAGGCCGCTGGTGCGCGTGGGGAGTTCGCAGGTGCGGGCAATACTGGGCTAGGCAGGTTGAGCAGGTGCGATTTGGAGGTCGCATCTGCGAGCCCGCAGGTACGAAACTTAGGGTGTAGATGTGGAAAGGGGATGCTGGGCAGGTTTTCGCAGAAGAGGAGTATGAGAGCGCCGGTGCGCTTGCGCAGGCGCGAGAATTTGCTGCACAGATGCGAAAATGTGAGGCTAAGGTTGGAGCGCAGGAGCGAAGGATTTGGCCGCACCTGCGAGCCCGCATATGCGAGGCCTGGAGCGCAGGTGCGAAAGCTAGGGAATTAAGTGGAGTTCGCGGATGTGGCGCCTTGACCGCAGGTGCGGTCCTGCAGGCGCGGAAAAAGAGTCCGTAGGTGCGAAAACCTGGGCAGAAACCATAAATAAAACCCTTTGCGAATTTGGTTCACTTCCACCATTTTCAAGTCGGTTTGTGGAGCTTTTGGAGTGATTTGTGAAGGGTGATTCAAGGGCTATCAGTGAGGTAAGTTACTTGAGCCCTAATACTTGTATATATGGTAATTTTCCGTTGTTTAGTCATTGTAATTAGAGAAAATGAGAGGTTAGGGCTTGGGATTTTTGTAGAAGTAATTTAAGGATTTGAAGGACCAAACGATGTCGGATTTTGATGAATTTGGTATGGTTAGACTCGTGAGTGAATGGGCTATCTAGTTTTGTAAATTTTGTTGGATTTCGAGACGTGGGACCGAAGTCCGAGTTTGAGCCAATTTTGGGGTTTGGTGTAATTTTGTAGCTTTTCCATTGGAATTCATTCCATTAGCGTATATTGATGGTATTGTACTGAATGTGAATAGATTTGGAGCATTTGGAGGCCGAGTCTAGAGGCAAGAGCATTGCGGGGTAGAGATTTGACCGATTTGAGGTAAGTAACGATTGTAAATCT